GAAACCGAACACGTGGGGCATCTGAGGTCAGTATTCGAAAGGCTCCGGCAATTCGGGCTGAAATTGTCAAGCGAGAAGTCCCTGCTGGGACAAACGCGGATCAATTTTTTAGGCCACACTATCTCTAGCGAGGGGGTCAGACCGGATGCGGCAAAGGTGGAGGCAATCACACGGATGGCGGTACCACGGGACGTTAAAGGGATTCTCGGGATGCTTAACTATTACTGGAGATTCGTACCCGAGATGGCAGAATATTTGGTACCTATCAACAACTTGCTGAAGAAAGGCGCAAGGATTGTGGTGACACCGGAAATGGAGAACAATATCCGGAAATGCATGAATAGATTACAGGCAGAACCCGTGTTGGCGTTCTTGGATTTTGAGAAACAGTTTAATATCACCACCGATGCGAGCGAATACGCGTTGGGGACCGTTTTGTCGCAGGGCGGAAGTGACGGCGAACGTCCGATAGCATACGCCCGGACGAGGCCGACGGCTTACGGGTGCGGAATCACGATACAGCGCTTTAGAGAGGGAGCTACTCGCGATAGTGTGGGCTATCGACCATTTCAGGCCATACATATTCGGGAGGAAGTTTCGAGTCCACACCGACCACAAACCCCTTCAGTGGGTAGGGAAACTGAAGGAAACCTCAGCTAGGGTCACGAGATGGAAAGAATTCCTTAGTCAGTACAACATAGAGGTGGTGTATAAGCCGGGAAAGGAAAACGTGGTGGCAGACTGGCTCTCTAGGGCCATCATGATCAACGCGGTAGAACAGGACGGGGGAGGACCATCGCGAGACGTGCGCCAATTCTTGAGTGAGTGGACACCCGATGGCGAAGGGGCAGATGATACCGTCGGTATAGAGGACAGGGAAGAGTACCCGGTAGAGGAGAGCTCAGCAGAGGAAAGAGCAGCGGAGATGGAGGAGATAGACGAAATCATCAATGACAAGCAGCGTCACGTACCTGGAAAACGAGAACAGCAGGGATGATGAAAATAGATTACCGAAGATATGGGAAAAGTAGGATTCGCGTCATCTGGTCGCAACCCGGGGTGAGTGAAGAGCAAATCCGTACGACACTGAAGGACGCCACGGAAGCGGGAAAAACCACACACCATCTATATGTTGGGAATAACACGGTATGGGACAAAATAAAGCGGATGTGGAGATCCGAGCGAATAGGCGTGGACAGAACATTCATCCGTTGCAAGTATGCAGTGGAAACTATACAGGACGAGGAGCAACAACAGGCAGTCTCATTGGCTTATCACCAGGGGAAAACCAACCACCGAGGCGTGAACGAGACGTTGCAGGCATTACGTCGAAAGTATTTCTGGTGGGACATGAAAAGATCCATCCAAGAAATCATAGGAAAATGCGAGGTGTGTATGCGCACGAAATATGATCGACACCCCCCCAGAGGAGTTCAGGAAGAGACACCTACAGGGAATATGCCATTACAAGACCTCCAGATTGATACATTCACCTGGAGAGGGTTCAAGTGGGTCACGGTCATCGACGTCTTTAGCAAGGTAGCTATGGCACACCAGGTCATGGACAAGTCTGCCAACGGACGGTGGTAGGGAGTTTGACAATGCCGCGATTAGGGAGGAGGTGAAACGACTAGAGATTCGTTAGCATTATAACACCCCGGGACATCCTAAAAGTAGAGGCGGCATTGAGCGGTTGCACAGCACGTTGAGTGACCACATCCGGGTGTATCAGGGGGAAAAAGGGTTGGAGCCGGATGTTGCAATGAAGAAAGCGGGAACAGCCTATAACCACTCGATTCACTCCGTCACGGGATTTTCGCCCATGGAAGTACTATTCGGATGCGCAGGCCAAGGCGAGATTGCTGGGAAACAACGATCAATGAACCGTTAGTCGAGCAAATCCAGAGCAATAGGGTAGAAGTAGAAAAGACGTGGGGAAAAGTAACGGGGAAAATTAAGCGGGAAAAGGAGAAGCGGGTAGAGAGGCAAAATCTTCACGTACGTGACCAAATGGGTGACCTAAAGATCGGGACAATAGTGTACCGTAGAGTAGGAACCAACAGAGGGAAACAATTGTTACGGTACGAGGGTCCATTCAGAGTGGTTGCTATTAGGGAGCATAATCTGCTAACTATCGAAAGCGTTAATGAACCTAGAAAGAGGAGAACTGTTCACATTGAACAATTGAAGCTCCCAATGATAGAACCGGAACATAGACCAATGGATTCGTAGTACCCTCACCGCTGTATATAAGAAATATGTTTTTTTTTTTGCTGTCAAAACATAAATATGGTGTAATTTCTTTTTATGTGTAAATAGAATTATAGCAATACAGTAGAGGAAGTTGTATTTTTTTTTTTTTTTTAGGTTATTAAGAGTTCTGTTCTTGGAAGCAAGTGTTGTGTTTAGTTTCTGTGTTTTTTTTATTATTTTATTTCTCGGAGTGGGAGTGAGTTTTAGTTTCTTTCAAGTGTATACTGGTAAGAACAATTGTAAGGTGTTAAGGCTGATAACCGTTGGCTCCGATCTAAGAATATCTAAGTTTCCGAAAATCCTATTCGTAAACTGGTGGGGGGGGGAGATAAAGACCGGAGACTGGCGATATCAGCCTTAATGCCATCCTGGAATGTAAATAAACATAAGAAATGTATATAAGTAGGATTACTGAATGAATAAAGCAGTGTCTATTCAGAAGCCGTCAGTGTTGCATCTCAACCCCTTTCCTTTCTTTTTTTTTTTATTGTTAAAGTCCGCCGACGCTTAACTTTATATATATATATATATATATATATATATATATTGTAACGTTCTCTTTTTCAACCAAAACAAACAACGAGTTTACTTTTTGAATATACTATTTATTTTACTCATATAACATAAACCTCAGGTTGGGTTCGGGCAACTGAACACTCATTCACATTTAATAAATACAATGTACACTAATTACTAAATACATATAAAGAAACGAGATACATACATTAATAAATTATAAATTCAAAACCTTTATTGTCCCAGTCTAAACTTTGTGGTTCTTTCTATTTTCTCAGCTTGATGGCTTCTCTCTTGACAGCTTGTCACATCTTCTCTTGGCGGCTCATAATCTTCTCTCTTGGCCGCTTGCACCTTCCCTTTTGGCGGCCCGTCGCAGTCTCTGTCACCTGAGCTTGCTTCCCCCACTTCTTCCCTGTAGTTCATGTTCTTGCCACTTTCGCGCCACTATTTATATACCATGTAATGTTGACATTACAATATATATATATATGTTCACATAGATGATACATCGGAAAATATGAAATTGAGATTGCTGATATGGATTCTAATACATTATCTAATACAACAATAAATTACAGTTAATCTAAATCTAGAAGAGCTTGAAAAAAAAAAAAAAAAAAAGGAATAACATAAAAATAGAACATTTAGAGATAATTCACTAAACAAAGCAAAAATGTGACAATAATTAACCGACAAATAATTAAATATATTTATTTAAATTTCCCTTAAATTGGTTAATTGACTGGCACATTTAAGGAATGAAGTAATGTAGATCTTAGAAAAGATTAAATGTATGAAGGGTAAGTATGTATTATATATACCAGACCAATTGATTTAGGACTGAAAATACAGGTATTTTAGGTGACAGGAAATCAAACCACACAATTTATTTACACAACTTGAGATTAATCTTAATTATTATGGACTTAAAGCTAATTAAATAAGAACATTGCTTCTAAAAATGAGGTATCTGCAGTATAGTTGGAAGATGATAAAAAAATCTCTAATAATTCATAATTAAAAAAAAAAAAAACAGAACTTAAGGGAGTTTGTCTGGAGATTGAACGCTTTCCTAAAAAACTGAATATTTTCCAGCTGCACCCCAAAATGGCTTTTTTTTCTTTCTTCCTTCTCTATGTCCAAAAAACATTTTCACAGAAATGTTTTCTATTGGCTGATTCCCTTTTAGGGCAGAGCTCTGGACTTCACCTCTAGTTCTTCGTAGTGCTCTCAAGAGGTTTTTCCATTTCCTTTGTAGTCTTGCCTGTAAATATATGATATCTTTACAACTCGTTGAGATGTTTGGCAGTATTTTATTAGACAAAATATAAAGTAAAAAATTTTCATGTAAAAAATATATTAAGCAAACCTGGTGCACCAGGTACCACGCGTGTTCCAATTTTCTTCAACATTTCCTATATATGTTTCTTGGGAACTTCTTTTTTAGTTAATATATGGGTTAAACCTTCGCCTGGGATGAGGTCCTTTTTTTGGCCCTGGCTTCAGGGCTATTAGTCCTAATGTCGATTCCACCAAGAAGCTCTTGGAAATATTCTTAACACAGGCCCATTATTTCTTTGCTTTTATTCTGAAATTTTCCATTTCTGTCCTTGGTAAACTTTAGGACTGGCTTCCTTTGCTTCCAGATGGATTTTAACACTCTGTAGAAGAGTTTTTTTCTTTTCTTTGAAGTTGATCTTTAATTTATCCCTAAATTCCTCCCATGTCTTAGTCTTTGCCTGGATCACTGCTGCCTTTACTATCTTTCTCTCATTCTTATAAGCTTCATAATCTGCATGTTTTTTTATTGCAAGGCCCATAGAGCTTTTTCTGTTTTATTTTCTCCTTAAGTTCCTGTGACCACCATGGTGTCCTCTTTATACCACCATCTATTCATAATGGATGGGTCGCTTCCTAGCTTTTTTTAACCTTAATATCTATTTACTCCTTTATCGCGTTTCTTGGAATTATGAAATAATTGATTATGGATTTCTCATTTCTGCTTAGCTTGGCTCTGGTATACATAAGAATTCTTATGTGGCTTGATAGTGTTTGCCTCAGCAAAATCGTTATTTAAGCCCAAGTTTAAAATTCTTTCTCCATTGTCATAAAAAAATATTACTTAACAATATTCTCGACATAACTTAAGCATTTGGAAAACAATACTGCATTGTATCTCAATGAATATTTCATAATAAAATATTTAATTAATTCCTCAATTGTTATAGGAAAAATATTAAGAAGAAATGCTGAAAATGTAACTAAGGTATTGGATAACATTGAAAACTTCATTGACCAACACTCTTACAGGCCTATGGACCAAGCAGAGAGTATTTTCAGACAGTCTACGCAGTATAGGTAGGGCTGTATGATAAATTAATAACTATAAAGTCATTATACATTTGATATTAGGCTTATTATTTATTTAAATCACCAATTTTGTATCAATTTTTACTTTCATTCACATATATTTACAGTATATATAGTAATAATATATAGTACAGGAAAGTATTGTGATCGTGGAACAATTTTGAATCTGAATTTTTGACGGAAATAAATGTAAGGGCCCATGATTCAAAATAACCAGCCTCGCAAAATGTATGTATATGTGAACAGCCTAGCTTGAAAATGAAAAATGTACAAAACTGAAATCAGATATTTAAGGTAGATATATAGTGGGAATATTACAGTGCCTATTTTGTTAAAATTGGCAAACTGGAAGTACCATTTTATATAATATTTTTTTTTTTTTTAAATGGATCATAACTATTTTGATTAAACTTGTTATATTATATGATGAGGAAGCAAAACTGAACCTACTTGGCAAATATTTTATCTATTTTGAGGATGAAACAATGGGTCTTTATCAATTATTTAATAGAATCAGCTTTTAATAACTGCTATACTTTTTGTATAGGGTTTTTTTAAATGTCACTAGTATTTTCTAACATCTTGAAATAGTTCTCACCTATCAGATTTTTAGTACTGCGACTTTTATATCACACAATTGGATTTTACAGATGGTTTGTTTCATCCATGGAGGGATTATGAGGGAGTGGGGTAGCTCAGTGGTAGGGCACTGAGCTTCCAATGCAAAGGTTCCAGGTTCGAACCCCGGCTCATGGCAGAAAATGTATTTATCTGTTTCATTGGCTGTGGGGCGAACCTTGGGTCGGGAGACCCTCCTGGGGCACACCCAGTCTCTATAAAGTGGGTACTCTTAATTAAATAATTGATTAAGGAGAAAAACCTGGCGGTTGTGCATGATCTTGGTCAAATCACCTCCTTGCACAACCGTTGACCTAGAAACAGTGCTTTTCCTAAATAGTACTGAACTCCAGACCCTTCATGGGTTGTAGTGGTACAGGTTTTATTTATTTATTTATATTTTTAATTTTTTTTTTTTCATCCATACTTGATCCTTGATCTTATTTTGACTGCAGAAAATCTTAAATTTTTATTGTTAAGACTAAAAGTGCCAATTTTATGTAACATATTTATGTTCTTGAGATACAGATAGATATATATCTTGTGAAATAAATAAATATATTATAGTATAAGTTCAGAACTTAATGGCAGATCATAATAATTAGTAATTTTTATGTTTTCTTATATAATTATCGTCATAACCTAGTTTTTTATTTTTTTAGATACTATCTTGGTTTAGGAGTGAGCCTCGTCCTTGTTAGTGTATTGTTCTCGCTCGGAATAGGTCTTTTGTGTGGCTACTGTGGACACCGTCCCGATGCACTTTACAATGAAGACTGTTGTGATAAAGGCACAGCATCTCGCTTCCTCATGATGTAAGTATTTTACAAGATGTTTTTGTCATTTGAACTACATTTTTATTGTGAAATTTTATTTAATAAAACATTTAAATTATTGTTGTAAATTAATTTAAGAATAATAAACACTATTTTATAATTAATTCTTTGTTAGGCACACTGATTTTGTTTTTACTTACAGCGTAATCAAGTTTTGTGTATATATATTTATTTATTTATTTTTTAAATTAATTTTTCAGGGCCGTCTGGATAATGTTTTTGTCATTCACTGCTTTAGTTGCTGTCACCTTAGGTTATATGGTGACAGGTTCAGTGTCTGATCGTGTCATCTGTAAAGGATTGAAAAAACCATATAATACGAGTACTTTTGAGCTTTTAGATCGCCTTGTCGATCTTTCAAATATATATACTTCTTCAAAGAAGCTCAATTTAAGTACCATAATTAGGTATTTACACAGTTTTATATTATTTCTTTATTTTATGTTTCTATTTAAAAATTGTTAAATTAAATCTGTTTTTTATCTATTTATAGAGAATGTGAGAGAAATGCCAGCATCTATGAATTATTAGGTATTGAAGCCGATTCAATGTCTGAATACACCGCTCAATTCAACATGCCAGAGAGAGCCAGACAATTAGCCGATTCTATTCAGTTGACATCAGAGATAGTTATTGTAACACCCGAGGCAGAGAGGCAATTGATGGCTCTTGCTGCTTCTCCTTTAAACACCATTGACCCACGAGTTTACACTTCTGTGGTAATTTTTTTTCTATTAAATAAGTATGAAGTGTTTTATGGTTAGATGCTTTATTAGCAATGTTTATAATATTTATTGTCATCCCACTTATATTTGTTTCTGAAAATATACCTCAGATTTGAGATTCATACAGAGCTGTAGAACTGGAAAGTTGGGATTAATGATAATGGTATACGTTAGCCACTATTAGTGTTATTAATGGTCATATTTCTCAGGCAAAATAAAATTCCAGTTATAATTCATTCGATATAATAGATATTGTATAAACTGTTCTCTTATTATCTATTAAATTCAGTTTTGTTTTGATGTTTTTATAGCTTAATGACAAAATCACATCTATTGACTTGCTGCAATTAGCTGCAGCTTTGAATCAAACTGCAATGAGACTTCCTCCTAGTCAACAGAATGTAAGTAATTTTGAGATGTTCAACATTAATTTGGATTTTTGGTAAAGACTAATAATATGAAAGCACTTCTTGATCTCAATTTTATTTATATTATTAAATAAATCTGGTGTGGTGTGCCCATCACACAACTTTCACTTATCACCCTCTTCTTAGCAGAATTAAATATTTAAGGCAAAGGGAAGTAAATATTAAGTGAAAGTAAAAATTATAGACAGTATCAAACAATATTTAAAACAATTAATTACCATATGTTTTTCATAGTCGTCTAGTGTAATATATATATATATATATATATATATATATATTTTTACACGATCTATTTTCTTTTACAGCTGTATATTTTAATTATTTCCTTCTTCTTACTAGATTGATACCTTGGGGGTCTTATTGATTGAGCTACTAAACTATGTCCATTTGGTTACTAAAAATTTTAATTGATTATATATTTTGTTTGCTAACTGACTTATTACTGCTTATTTGATCTTTTTTTTATTAATTTGTTAATCTGTTTAATTATCTTAAGTCTTATATCTATGTTTTCTCTTGTAATGATTTTTGTGATATTGTTTTACTAACTATTATTTTTACATATACAGGTGAAGCATGAACTAGAAACTCAAGCTATGTACTTGGAGGTACATCAGGAACGTCAGGTAGGTTTGATGGTGAAGTTATCGAAAGATCTTCATGACAATGCTACTGCACTTGCAAGCCATTTAAGATTTAACCATTCATCCCTCAGCAAAGCTGTGGAATACCTCTTGTTGGATCTTAGACAAGCCCAAACTACTCTTAATTCCCAGGGACCAGCCATTGTAAAAACGGTATGTTTAATTAAAATCTATCTTTATTTATTTAATAATCAATTAAATTCATGTATGCTTTTATGCCTCAAAATCTTCCAGGTTATAGTTAGCTTAAAGAAATAATTAAATGAAATGGAGGAGAACTATATTCTGATTTATTGAAATTATAATGTTAAAATCAATACGAAATAATGTTAGCTCTGGGATTAAAAGTGTCAAAAGATACCGGATTTAATAAAGAAATAACAAATCCTGATTTGAGATATATAATTGGCCTATAATAAAAATGTCAGTATGCAGTGGACACAAAATTTGATGCTCTATAACTTTGATTCTATAGGTTTTTCCTCTTAGAGAACTCATTTCCAGTTTACAGGGCCATTTATAGTAAGTTGTCTCAGTTTTTGACAAATTTGGTAAAAATCAGCATTGGTTGACCATGGTTTTATACCTTACCACGTAACCAAAACACTTTAAGAAATGACTGAATTCATGAATGAATTCATAAACTTAATAATTGTAGGCCAATTATATATCTCGAATCGGGATTTGTTATTTCTTTATGAAATTCGGTATCTTTCGACACACTCATTTATCAAATTCGAGTGTGTGAGCGACATTCGTTTATCCTAATCCTTCGCTGCTGAGAGGTGGAGAATGCAGGTATACTGCATGTAACATATTATAAACAAAAGTAGCTCGGTAGAATAGACACCCGTACTGTTGAAATATTGAAAATCTGCATTACCAATTTCCAACCACCGGGAGATAATCGATTTTGTTTGGAGTAAGTGACCTTCATTAAAATAGTTGGTATTCAGTGGACACCAAATTTGATGCTCTACAATTATGATTCTACGGGTTTTTCTTCTTGGGGAACTCATTTCCAAGCTATAGGGCCATTTATAATAATTTGTCTCACTTCTGTACAAATTTGGTAAAAATCAGCATTGGTTGACTGTGGTTTTCTACTATACCACTTAACCAAATTATTAAGTTTAGGTACTCGATTGTCGCACAATTTAATGTTCTTTAATTTTTTAAAGGGTACATTTTTCACTTTGATGCATCGCTTGGAAGTTGTAGGTATGAAAACAATATATCCAAAAAAAATCTGGCTTTTTTTGCTGTAAAAAGTTTTCTCTTGGTGGCCCACGTTAGCAAATTTGTTTTTAACATTTCTAAATCCATATATACAAGTTAAAATAATAAAAACTTTTCCAACATTTTTCACAATGAATTTCCCATTTTGATCCTCAAGTTACTGGCCTAGTATTGTTTAGATCAGCCGCCATTTCTGAAAGTAGCAGCTCTGGAACAGCAAACTAAGTTTATTTTACTTAGAATAACATACCCTTTCGTAATTTACATTAAAACCTTCGCCTGCGATCAGGTTGATTTTGGGCCCTGGTTCCAGGGCTATGTTGACTAGTGGTAAAGCCTGTCTACAATGAATTTGCTTGTGATGGAGGGAAGCTCATGCAGCCTTTCCCCACTCCAGTTTCTTAAATACATTTAGCTCTCTCTTACTCGAATGAATGTTATCCCGTCTTTATTATTATGATTTTCCTTACTTATAGTGTGGATTATTTTTAAAGTTTTATTATTTCTTTTTTATATACTATTGTCCAAAGAATTTTTTTATCAGTACGCCATATCTTCATCTTAAAGTAGTCATATCCTCTCGAAATTTCAGGAATATAAGTTATGAAGGAAAAGACAATTTATTGGCGAAGAACTCAAAAAGTATACATTTTTTTGTTGATTGTACCCCTGATCATTTGAAAAAAATAAATTAAAAAAACATTACAACCCATGAAGAATCTTGTGTTCAGTACTATGTGAGAAAGTACCATTACAAGGCCAACAGTTGTGTAGGGCCGAGATACCATTCAGCTGCCATGTTTTTTCCCTTAATTAATTATTTAATTAAGAGTACCCACTTTATAGAAGCTGGATGTGCTCCAGGAGGGTCTCATGACCCCAGGGTTGATCCATGACTGATGAAAAATTATTAGTCATCAGCCAGATTCTAATCTGGGACCTTGAGCTCTGACTTCCTGAGCTCAAGGTCCCAGATTAGAATCTCAAATTTCAAGTCTCACCAAGATTTGAACTCTGATCGCTGGATTCAGAGTCCAGAGTGCTAACTATTACAACATGAAACCCCTATGATCATTTGAAAGATTTCTAAATCCCTTGAAAATAAAAAAATAGAATAAAATCAAACTATTCAATTAAAAATTTGAAACAATTTATATCAACCGAAGGAGCAAAGTGGATTAATATATTTTTTTAATGAGAAACAGAATTGAGATTTGTATTTCGTACTTTGAAAAACATTCAAATAAGAATTTTAATAGCAATAAATATTTTGTCCCTATGATGGCTTGATTTGTTTTTGAAAATCTCAAAAAGTGTGATAATTTCAACATATTTCCACCCATCCTCATGGAAATTAGCAGAAAATTAGGGCCACATAAACTATATTCCACGCAAACTGGAGTACAGTATGTACACTATGTAGAATTGGAGAAATAAAATAAAAACTTTGAGTGTTTATTTATTTATTTCTTCTGGAGGTGTTAAATCAAAGTTATTTGTATGGTTTTGAAGAGCAATAATTCAGCTTTCCAATGGTTATAGTAACATTGAATTAGGAAGAAATTCTGATGAGCTCGCACGGGCCAACTAGTACTTATTTGTGAAATAACAAAGAGAATTCGTTTTTTTAAATTTTGCTTATAATTGAAATTTTAGAGCAATAGATTGTAGGATTGATTAATCTAGCCCGTTTTGTTTTCTTTATAAATGATAATGAAAGTTAAAATTATATTATAAATATATTTTTTTAAATTGGTTGATTTTATATGCCTAATTGTTTAGTTTTGTTAGTTGATCCATTACACATACATATTTTATTACTAATTTCTGTGGTACATTACTGATTGTTTAGATTTTTTTATTTCTCAAAGTCTTGTTTTTGTTTTTATAGTTTTAATGTGGTTTTATTTAATTTCATTTACAGTTGGCTGAAGAATTTGGTAGAGAATTCGGTCTTCATATTCAGAGCTACCTTTCTCGATTAGAAAAGGAAGCACAGGCTAATGTTGGAAAGTGTTGGCCTATTTCACTTGTTTACAACGCTACTGTGATCGCTACTTGTAATAATATTATCGACCCTTTTGTAAGTTTCTGTTATATATTTTCAAGTATATTTGTGTTTTTTAAATTATTTATCTAAACTCATTTCATCCACATTTACTATGTACTCAGAAAGGAATTTCTATTTTTAGAATGGATTTTGGCTCAGCGTTGGCTGTGTTACTCTGTTATTTATTCCAGCCATTATTCTTGCCGTAAAGTTGTCTACTCTTTATCAGAAGTCAGATCCTTATCCAGGAGCACTTGTTGAAGCGTAAGTAATTCAATAGTAAACTTATTTTATTCATGTTGTTTGTCAGTGTGGACTTTTTATTCAATACTAACTATTTTTAAATTGCAGATTAATAAGGTGCAAGCTGACAATATTTATTTTCTTAAAATTTTAAAAAGTCTTCACTCAGTTGTCGATGTCTTGGGAATTGTTTTTCTATCTTCAAGGCCAAAATAATTTCTATAAGTTTATATAGTACATATTTTACTCTGTGCCATTTAAAGTCTCCTATGGAACTTCGTTGTTATCACTTTTCAACATTTTAGTTTTAAGGATTTGAACATTATCTTCTCATCTCCTGCTATTGATGTTTAGCAATGTTCATTAGATTGGAAAGTAAGACTGAAATGCGTGGAAGATAAAAAACACAAACTTATTAATGAACTATAAAGTCACAAAAGCAAAAGGTTTTATGATTTAATAGAGGAAACTGTTTCAGTTGAAAATCTCAAGGTCCTAGTTTTTTAATTGCAACAAACATATTTTTTTTTTGCATAGCATTTCCTAATGCAAGACAAGTAAAGATATGTTCATTGTCCTATTTTCCACTTGTATAAAGTTTGCAATGAGGATCTTCTGCTACACCAATATGATAAAGATGCTTATGAAGGTAATTGTGACCAGTTAGCATTCTGAAGCTGGGTATGAACTGACTAGGCCAGAGATTCATGAGAGTCGTTCAGTTATATCCATTAAAATTTCTCAATTTTCCTGCTGTTTCGTCTGCTTATGCCTTGGCTACTGTGTTGGTGACTGTTATTTTTAATACCCTTTTTGGGGTTTGTAAAATCACTGAATGGTTAAGCTGGTCCATTACTGTTCATTGTATGAAAAATGTACCAGCTTCCTAATTTTTGTTAATTCTAGAAGACTTAGAATTCAGTGCAATGGAACAGTCTTCCTCATTTAAAAATTTTCTAACAAGGTGTCAGCACTTCAGTGAATTGCAGGAATAGGTGTAGCCTGAAGTCATGATAGAAATAATGGCTGATTAAGACTCGATGAAGAACACCATTCCATCTATACTTATCCTTGAGGGTTTTTAAACCATGTTCTTACTTAGTGTTATTCAATTATCTATTTTGAATGTTTTCACAAAAATAAGTCAAGTTACAATGATTTTTACTTTCTTTCCAGGGAGTATTTATATGACGCTTATGCCGAAAGAGACAATGTTCCTTTACAAAAGTAGGTTGTTCTTATTTCCTATAGGTTTAAAACATTTGAGAAATAAATAGTTTTTAAATTATTTTTTCTTTTTTAGTGTTGGAGGTAAGAAGAAAAAAAAGTCAAAGAAAAAGCCCAGCGGTACGACTTATTCTGCTCCTCGTTTAGGTCGTGAAAGGGAATCACAGCCGCCTCCTTCAGATGGGAGGTATTACTTAGTGCTTTAACATTTAACAATGATATTCTACGAGTACAGGCAGATAATTATACCACAACAGGAATATATATAATTCTATTACATATTACATAATTATCCTGCTGAAAAGAAAGCAATAGCAAAATCTACTTTAAAATAAAACTAATTCAATATAGACATTACCATATAAGACAGATTTTGTATACTGTTCCCTTGTGGCGATCACCTACATTTTTGTAAATAAAACTATTTAATTATATCTAATCAATTCAATGTAGTATTACGATAATTGTTACAATGAATGAATTGATGTGTAATTCGTGCTGTCAATGATCAACTCACGAAATCTCATATTTAAAAATAATAACAATAAAGCCTCAAAGAATTAAATTCATTGAGCTTTGTACCATTACTTTTTATTTTTCTGTTTTATGAATTAAAAGTAATCACGGATTAATTAGGATATTTAAACTCTATCAAATAAGATAATAAGCTGATCTCATTGGCTGTATCTTTTCTAGGTGCAGTAATTGGGATGAAATTGCAAATAATGCTCCACCTCCTAGGTACCCACCGATTTCTGCTGAATATGAAAGACCTCCTCCGTATTATTTTCCTGGGCCAAACCAACAGTTAGTATTTTGAAATCTGTGTTGCACTTAACTATATCAAAATTATTTTAGGAATTACCTTACAGTTATACACTGAATTTTGATGAGGTCCTGGAAGAATGGTCCTTAAAAGAATAGGATTCTGCTCAATAATAATTAATTTCATTTTATTTAAAAAATTAGATTTTTGGTTTCATTGAGTTATCGAAAGTTGACTGTAATGTTTATACAATTTCTTATGTAATTGGAGCTCTTAGTTCTTACCACATTCATTCTCTTTATTCCATTCTTCAAGGATCATCAACAAGTTAAGGTTATGATTAACAGTTAAGAGGTTTTTGGTACAGTGGATGATTTATTCAAGAATCATTCCCCTCTCCATGAATACCAAATAATAGATTGGTCTTAACCTTTTACACACCACCCTCTGATTCCAGTATAAATTGTTTTTTTCTGTAATATTGGTCTCAATATGGTTCAGTTTAGTTTCTAAAAAAAAAAATTTCCTTTGCGCTTTTCCTACTTGTTTCAGAAGTGGAACAATGGCAGGTTCAGGTCATACAAAGATAAACAAAGACCTTTGTTACTTTCACTTACGTATATATGTAATATGTAGTAAGGGTTTGTATTGCGATCATGAAAATTTTTGAATCTCAGTTTTCAACGTAAATTGAAGTCCCCTGAATCCAAATAACCAAGTGTCGCAAAATGGTCTGTGTGTGTGTGGTTTTGATTAAACTTGGTGTATCATTGCATAATTAAGTGGTCTTTAATATCGTTTAAGTCTTATCCCTGTTGATTTAACTTTACAGGGCTTAAATGCCCAATGTTCATATATGTCTTTCTCTAAAGTACCTTTAATATGGTTTATTTTAAAAAGTTAATCATTTCGAATTATTCGAGTTATAACAAAATGCTACATATAACTTTTGAAAGAATTTGATAAGTTAATAAAGGAGAAAAAATAAAATAAAAATGCAGAATAACCTGCGTTGCTATAGACTGTAGCGCCTAAACGAATGTATCGATTTCAATGAAACTTCGCTAAAGTCATTTTCTCGACACCTTTAAATTTATCTATATAACATACTTCAACGAAAAGGAGCTGAAAAAAAAGTTACGAGGGATGGTAAAATTAAATTCCTAATAACTCAAAAAATATATGCTTTTTGTTGATATAGTGATTAGATGTTTCAAAGGTATTTAAATTGTCTAAAAAATGAAAGATGTTTCATCGAAATCAAAGCACTATTAGTAGAGATATCACGATTTTAAAATATTTTTACTTTCACTTACGTATTCACTTATGTAATATATAGTAAGGGTAAGTATTGCAGTAAAATTTTCGAATCTCAGTTTTCAATGGAAATACATGTTTTGAGGTCCCCTGAGTCCAAATAACCAAGTGTCACAAAATGGTCTGTGTGTGTGTTAACAGTCTAGCTCATAAACGAAAAGTAGTACGAAACTGTATTAAGTATTTAAGGTTTGTATATGGGTCGGATGTGACAGCAAATTTTTTGTTAAAATCGGCTAACCGGAAGTGCCACTTTATATGAACGCTGAAACACATTTTTTTAATATAAAAATAGTGTTGATTTTAATAATTATTTAATAATTTAATAAGGGGAAATGGTGCTAAAAAAATTCTATAGAAATTATTGAATAACAGTGATACCTACCGGTGTTTGTATACTTAAGAAGTTAAATGATTAGAATTGGTAAGGCTAAGTTAGCAACTCATGGAAACCTCTTGATTGTTTTAATGTGTTGTAGGCAAAATATCTGCACAGTGCAGTCTATCTTTAATAGTTGTACCAATATTTATTTTCTTATTTAATAACTTAAGTCAATTTAAACCAATCTCTACTGACTTTTTAAGATAAAATTTATTGTTTTTGGTAGTAATCTATAAATAATATTTAAAAAAAAAAAATATGTAAAATAATTGTTTACTTTTATCTGCTGCATAAGTTGTGTCAAAAATTTTTCCCCTGAGTTTCCATTTTCCTCATTCAGAATATTTCTTAATGTCAGATTTAGTATCAAATAACATTTAAGTTTATACCATTTTAGTCTAGACCCCTTATTGTCTAATTATTTACAGTTGTCTAATACTTCATTAGTGGGTGGTTTCATTTTATCTTGTATCTGTGAAAATCCTACAATGGACAATCAATCAGAAGTTGGGAAACATCAGTTAAAAATCAAGAACCACCCCTTTTGACTTGAAATGTTAGATAATTAAAACAAAAATCAAGAAAAGTGTAGGATACAAAAATATTAAGCCATTTGGCTTGACCTCAATCCCCAACATGTCATAATAATGAGGTTATGAAAATTTATGAATAGTAACCAATCCTTTTTCTGCAATATGTAAGAAAAGAAGCAATAAAATCATTCAAAAATAAATTTACAAAATGCTTTTTATTAATAAAAATAATAATATATTCTTGTTTGTATCTGGTTTATTAAGTTATATTTATTTATTAAGTTTTAATTTAAAATTTTTGATAATCTGGAAGTCCTCTTGTAGTATTAAGATTACTAAAATAGCACTGTAATTTGTTTTTGAACTATTGGAATTGTTAAATAAACTAATTCAACCTCAAATTCTTAATAGATCCCTTGAACATCGTGTTTCATGGTTTTTAAAATGGAAATACCCTAAGCATTTTTTTTTTTCAGTATCTCTATAACCATTGATTTTATCAAGAAAATATATAGAATCATTTTATAATAATAATAATAATATTTGACGCTACTGCCCTTGAAGGGCATAGGCCCTCATCACAGATTGCATGCCAGCCTGGTCTATCGGCAGCAACCCCTCTCCATCCTCTAACTCCAAGTTGGCGAAGGTCCACCTCAACATTGTCCAGCCATCTCATTCTGGGTCGTCCACGCTTTCAGGTACCACATGGCTTTTCAAAAATGGCGTTCCAAGATATTTAAAAGTCTTACTAGGCTGGAAAGTTCTGACCAGTAATATTAATTGTATGTGGTGGCATCTGTGGGGCTTTCTGGGTGCTTTTAATGTATTCGGTCTTCTTCTCATTGATCTTGAGACCTCTTCTATTTGCCTCTCGCTCCAACTCCTCCACGATAGCACTATGTAGGCTACGTTAAGTAGGGCTATGCCTCTGTAATTCTCTTTCCACTCTGTCTCCCTTTTTATGAATGGGGCATAAGAGCTGTAGTCTAATTTATCGGCATCTTTTCACTCATCCACACATCGAAGATTATTTCGTATAGTTTGTCTAGAACTTTCCTTTCACCATACTTTAGCACCTCCACCGGTATATAGTTGACTCCTGGAGCTTGATAATTCTTAAGGCTGTGAAGTACTTCCCAAATCTCCTCCTTCTCAGGTAGTGTTTCCACATCGTTTTCATCTTCATTTTCTAGGGTCTGATTCAGGTCGAGATTCTGCTGTATTATGTCCTCATTAAGTTCTTCCTTGTTCAGTAGTCCCTGGAAGTGTCTTGTCCACCTACTGATAATATCCCCTCTGGCAGCAAGATCACCTTTCTCGTCCTTCATGAAAACATGTTGTGGATTGTATCCCTGCCTAATATGTCCTACTCCCCCAAAGAAACCTCGTACATCTTTATTTTCATGTTGCCATTTCAAGAACTCTTATTTCTCTCTTTTGTGTTGTCTTATTTTATATCGCCAGAGACCATTAGCCATTTTCCTCCTTTTGCTATAAGCACAGTAAGCCTGTCTCGTCTTCTTCTTCAGATAGTCAATCATGGCTTCATTTCTTTCTTGCATTAATCTGATGCAATCCTCATCAAACCAGTCTGCTCTTCCTGGTTTTTGCGCATGGCCATAAATCTCCTCAGCTGATGATCTTATTATTGTTTCCAGGTCTGCCTATCTGGTGCTGGTGTCTGTTCCTCCACAACATTCAGAGAGTTTCTTGTTGATGTTTACACCGTATGCCCGTCCAACTTCTTCATTCTTGAGTACGCAGACATTGTACAGTGTAATCTTTTGTCCCGTTTCTTTCCTGGGTTGCGGTATTTTCTGATTTTACTTGATGATGCTGAGAACTGGTCTGAATTGCAATCGGCTCCCCTATACACTTGGACATCTCGAATATGTGTTGAATGTCTTGAATACACTAGAATGTGGTGATCGATCTGATTTCTTGTCTGTCTGTCTGGGGAGACCCATGTTTCCTTATGTATGTTCTTGTGAGGGAAATGTGTGGTGCTTATCGATAGTTCTCTTCCAATTGCGAAATCAACAAGTCTACAACCGTTCTTGTTGGATTCTTGGTGCCTAGTGAGTCTACCTACTGTTTGGTTTGAATTCTTCCTGAAATCCCACATTCGTATTTAAATCTCCTAAGACCAGTTTGTCATCGTATCTTGGCAGGCTATCATAAATTCTTTTTGGTGCACCATAAAAATTATCTTTGACTTCTTCCTCACTATCTTCAGTTGGAGCATGTGCTGAAATCAGGGATATGTTGCAAAACCGTCCTTTAATCCTTAGACAATACATTCTTTTACTAATGTACGGAGTTGACAATTTGGCTTTGCAAGAAATACGATGGAGAGAATCAGACTACATTATGCTTAAGGATTATATCCTGATCAACAGTGGAGACAGAACTAATAGAATCATTTTATAGAGATTTTTAAGTACTCTGGTATGTCCTCTCACATGACTTTCCTACCAATTTCGGAAAAGTTTTTATATCCTTGAAAAAACAAAACAAAAAACAATTGAATTACATTTATTTTCCTGAAAATTGATCCAAGAAAAGATTTCTTGGACAAACTAAAGCAATGTAAACTGGCTTGTGCAAGATCATCATAAAAAATTCAATACATTCTAACATTCCTAAGCAACAACTTTTATGCAATAGTTCAATTTTGACACACAATAATTTCTGTTAAAAGTAGAGGAAAAAGAAAAACTTGTTTGATGCAGGCACTAGATTTTTTACTTTCACTTTTCGTTTTTCTTTCTTTCACCCCTTTCTGGCAATGGAATTTGAACTTAATATCTTGGTAATCTTGGATATGAAATTAAAATAACTGTAACATCATTAATAGTTGTCCGAAAGGAATGATTTTTAAAGCACATATCTAAAATTTGACCAGATTGAAATATTTACCTATTATAGGTAGGAAAAGTAAAAGTAACAGGGGATGGCTCATGTACAATTTGTGATGTTTCAGTTTTTTTTATTTTGTTTGGCTTAATTTATAAGTTTACCTATACACTTGGACATCTCGAATATGTGTTACATGTCTTGAATCCACTAGAACGTGGTGATCGATCTGATTTCTTGTCTGTCCATCTGGGGAGACCCATGTTTTGTTATGTATGTTATTGTGAGGGAAATGTGTGGTGCTTATCGATAGTTCTCTTCCAATTGCGAAATCAACAAGTCTTCAACCGTTCTTGTTAGATTCTTGGTGCCTACTGAGTCTATTTACTTTTGGTTTAAATTCTTCCTGAAATCCCACGTTCGCATTTAAATCTCCGTTTAGAGCTTATGTATGAAAAACATTTAAAATTTGTAGACCTGTATGACCATTTGATTGTACTGATTTTTTTTAAACAGTGTGAAAACATCAGCTTGATGTTCATAAATTTTTATTACTTCATTACTTTGAGATTTAGGGGTTGAATATCGTGTCAAACCACAAAATCTTTTTGTAGGCCACCCTTTTTCTTGATTTTTTGATCAAAATATTTTACAGTTAAGTGGAAAGCAAAGAGATATTCATGAATTTTAAATATTATAATACATTAAATTGAAATGTTTTCCAAATTAAAAACCACTCATTTCAGAGAATTTTTATATTGGGTTGTCCGGAAAATAATGCAGGATTTTGGTTTTTTTTTTAAATTTCCCTCTATATAACAAACTGTTCACGTTTACTGGATTATTCATTTGTATGAATGTCAACACTTATTAATCCTCCTCCAAACGATCATGTTTGTTTACCGCTGTAGTATTTCGCTGCTTATTAATAATTTAGTCTGTCAACATTTGATTTTAATATAATTTTGATTTACAACTTTAAGTTGGCCAGAAACATCAATCAAGTCTGTCAAGCAGCATTAATGAGTGCACTGTTCAACGGTGGTTCAAAAAATTTCGGGAGGGGAGACTTCAGCCTTGAAGAGAAAGAAGGTCCTAGAAGTACTTTGTCTCTTGATGACAACGTTCTGCAGACTTTGGTGGAAGAAAACCGCATAACAACTGTTTGAGAACTTGTAGGGAAACTTAACCTTAGCAAATCGACCGTCGATGACCACCTCAAGGCGATTGGAAAGATAAAAAAAGCTTGGAAATTGGGCTCCACATACATTAAACGACCGCCAAAAAAAAAAAAAAGTTATGAAGTTTGTGGTCCACTTTTTTCCGAAACAAAAATGACTCTTTTCTGTCCAGAATTGTTACTTGTGATGAAAAGTGGATACTTTAGGGTAACAGAAGATGTTCTGGGCAGTGGCTCGGCAAAGGAGAAGCAGCAGAACTTTTTCCAAAGCCCCCAACTCATCCAAAAAAGATGATGGTTACTGTTTGGTGGGCTTCATTTGGTTTGATGCATTACAGCTTCTTAAATCTTGGAGAAACTATCAATACTGAATCGTATTCTAACCAAATTAATGCAATGCATCAGAAATTGGCAATAGTGAAGCCATCTTTGGTCAATTGAAAGGGACCCATTTTGTTGCATGACCATGTCTCATGTGTGACGCCAAAAAAATTGTTGGAGCTTGGATATGAAACTGCCACATCCACTCTACTCTCCGGACCTCTCGCCTACGGATTATCATTTTTTTAGACTCCTGCCACTACTTACGTGCCAAAAAATTTAGTGGACAAAGGAAATTAGAAAATGCGTTTTTGTAGTTTATCAATTCTAAAGATTAGAAATTCTATTCTATAAGGGAATGGAAAATTTGTTATGATAAAATGAAGCCACTCACTAAGTTTGAGACAATTGTTAATAATTTTATAAAAAAAGAGTCTGTGCAGCATGGACTATTTCTGTTTTTTGGACTAAAAATGGTAGAAATGCATTCTAATATTTTATAAGTAGAGACTGGATCTCCGTGCAGTAAAAATCCAAAAAATGTACAGCAAAAAACTCTAAATTTGCAAAATCGTGCAGTAAAAACCCAAAATATGTAAAATTGTCTAATTTACACCTAAAACGTGCAAAAATCATCTATTTTGTTTAATTTATAATATTAATACATCAAAATCCTATCAAACCTTTATGTTAAGCTTCTAAATTAAAATATTGTGTCTCCCAAAAAAAAAAAAAAAAAAAAAAAAAAAAAAAAAAAAAAAAAAAAAAAAAAAAAAAAAAAAAAAAAAAAAAAAAAAAAAAAAATTAAAATGCAACAATGAAAATTAAAATCCATATTACAATCAACTCACGACAACAATACATAATCAAATACAACATTAAATTACGATTAACTTAAATCTTGAAGAAAGAGTAATTAAAAAAGAAATAAGGACTAATGTAAATAATAGAAAATTAAAAGATAATAGAAATAGATATTAGAAATAATCGAAAATATACATACATAAATACAAATTGTCAATATTATAATGAAAACTTTATTTATTTCATATAATAGAATTGAAATTTACAATGTTATTCATTTCGAAATTTGTTTTTGAAAATTGTTTCTCCTATCCCTTAATACGTCTTAATTGTGAAAAAGAGCTTCCAACTTGAACTGATGTAAGGGAGGGGACTCATTTAATAAGCAACCACTGCTGGTTCTTTGTCAACATTTATACCGTTTATGCAGTCGTTCAATTTTTTATAAGAGCGTAAGCTGTATTTTTTTTTTATTACGGAGTAAAATTTTTCCTATTTCACTACTGATTTTTTTAAGATTTTCTCCTACAGTTTCTGTAATTTCAATTTGTTTATTAAGTAATGATTTTCAAGATTCTAACTGTTTTAATCTTTGCGGAAAATTTGTCAAATGTGATTTCATGATTCACTTCAAAGCCAGAAGGGTATCTTATAGTGGGTAAGTAAAAACAAGGAAGGCAGTTTTTTTATTGAATTACTTCAGGCAAGTTCTATTCCAGGAATACTCAGTCTGCACTTGTGTTTACTATAAATTTGAATCTTTGCCAGTACTGTCACAGAATAATTTACCTTCCTCACAGTTTTCTTTCTAAAATTATAAATTTAATATGGACAAGATAGTAAAATAAAAAAGTAAATATTTACATACAAATACATATTAATATTTATAAAACATTCAATCTAGCAAAAAATGTGCAATTTAATGCAAAAAAAAAAAAAAAAATCAAAATCGTGCAATTTAAGCCAAAAATGGCAAAACGTGCAAAATAAAATTTAAATATATTATTTTACAGATCCTTTAATGGATAGATATTCGGTTCCGGGGTTTTTAAACACAAGCGAATAGCATGTGTAATAACATGGAAATCAGGTCTCTATTTATAAGACTTTGTTGAAAAAGCAACTCAACTCAATAGATCATTTATTTTTTCCAAACCTATTAAACAGCATTAAAAAATTACTAAAGCCATAGATTAAATTAATTTTACTTTCACTTACCTATATATGTAATACATAGTAAGGAAAAGTATTGCAATTGTGAAAATTTTCGAATCTGAGTTTTCAACGGAAATACACCTTTTGAGGTCCCCGGAGTCTAAATAACCAAGTTTTGCAAAATGGTCTCTTTGTCTGTATGTGAACAGTCTTGCATAAAATCGAAAAGTTGTACGAAACTGATATTATGTATGGCTCGGATGTGACAGCAACGTTTTCGTTAATATCGGCTAACCAGAAGTGCCACTTTATATCATCGACGTTGCACTTTTTTTATGATTTTCTCAAAAACAACTCTAACGATTTTGATTAAACTCGGTGTATCAATGTATAATTAAGTAATCTTTAATATCATAATCGTTTAATATATCGTTTAATATATTATCGTTAAGGTCTTTTCTCTATTTATATTGCTTAACAGGGCTTAAGTGCACAATGGTCAAACTGTCTTTCTCTAAAGTACCTTTTATTTGGCTTATTTTAAATAATTAACTATCTCTCATTATTAGGAGTTATGAAAAAAGACTAAATATAACTTTTGAAAGAATTTGATAATTGAAAAAAGGAGAAAAAATAAAAATGCTTATCCAAGTTGAAAATGAATCTCCGGAAATACAAGTCAGAAGTTATACATATAATATATTGGAAAGCAGAAAATTTTAGAAAAAATAATATCTAATAAACAAAGTTGTAGAAGATAAGAGAGAATTGCGAAAAAAGCATAAATAATAATTTCTGAAAACTATCGTAAATCACTTGTTTCAAATAAAATTAAATGAGATTTACTTACTAAATGTAAACTTAGATTTTTTTTTTAATTTGAAAAAATTATTTAAAATCCACCGAATCAAGGCAATGGCATTATTTAACATACTATTTTATTGTACTTGTGCGACAGAAGAAGAGAAATATAAACATTTTTCATGGATATGTTTTTAACCTTAAATACATTTAGTGTAATTTAATAACTCTAGATCTGATATTATATTTAAATAACTAGGTATCAATCATCCGTTTATTTGGAAAAATTATTATGCAAACTTTTATAAAATTAAATTAGTAAATAGTCTGATGAATTTTCTCTTAGTGATATATTGAATGTGAGTGAAGTCTATTAATTAGTTATTAGTTAAAAATTATGTATATAACCTGATCTATAAAATTTTATGATGTAGGTATGTTTGTTAAAATTAATTATTGTATAATATTAACAAGATCTTTTTTTTTTTATTCCAGGGCGACATCAAATACCTGAGATTAGATAGATGACTATGATGTATTTTAATGACAAGCACATCCTTTTGGTTGAAGTAATTTCGATTGTCATATCGAATATGATGATCATTATTGGGTAGTTGCCAAAGAGATTGTGTTAATAAGAGTATTTAAAAAAAAGACACCTTTTGAACGAACTATATTACTCTAAAAATCCATACCACCTAACTAGATAGACTGTACTCTTAAGTATTGTTTTTATCATGTTACATTAAGGTAAAATAGCTGGGTTTTTTAGTCTTGGCACAAAGTGTTTTATAGTATATAAATAACTTAGTAAAAGTTATACTTCATTGTTTTGTTAAATTTGTCTTCTCAACTCTATATGTGTCATAAATTATCAATGGTAAAACTGTTAAATAAAATAACTAATTATAATGCATGCTTAAGTAGTATTAATTCTCTTATTGTAAAAACTAAATTTAAAAAAAAAAAACAAAAAAAAAAACAAGTGATTTTGCCATGTTGATAATTTTCAGATTCACTTAGTATTATGTAAAAGGAAATAATATTATTTATTATAATTTTAATAAATTTATATTTAATATATGTTGACTACTGATTATAAATAATGTTGTAAAAAATGAAAGTTCTTGAAAGAATTATATCTTTATTATAAAAAAAAAATAAAGTAAAAAGAATATTTTTTCGTCAAATATATTTTATTAAGTAATACAAATTGACATTGTAATTATGAACTGTCATTCTCATGTAATAGTTTTTTTTTTTGTTCAGACACTTTCTTTGGCTGGTTCACTATTATATCCATAATTTATTTAATAGTGTTCATTAAATTATGATAATGCTCAATATAATTTTATTTATACAACTAATTTATTTTATAAATTACAACTATTTTTAAGTGCTAGAGCTTTAATTTATTAGTTATAATTATTAGTGAGTGATATAAATTTAGCTTTCATTTTTATTTTTAAGAAGAACTAAAGTATATGATTTTAGTAAAAAAATTATTTGTTTCCTCTATATTTTATAGGTTTATGTTATTATTTTGTCATAATATATGTTTTATTTAAATGATATTAATGATCTGTTTCTAATTAAATTTTTAAAATAAATAAAATATTTAAAGTAAAGAACTTCTTTGTTTTTCAAGCTTTTGTAATTTACATTCAAATCTTTTCCTGCTATGAGTATCCTTGTTAGAGCTATAAATGTATACACGTTATTAAAATATGTAGACTCCTACAAACACTTGCTTCTTAAGAACCTATGGTTAGCCAAAATATTCTTTCTTTTTTTTTAAGTCAATTTTTCATTTGTCAATTGTTGATATGTCAAAGTTTATCTCACTTGGAAAAATTACAATCTAAGAGTAGCAGCTTGTCATTTATTTCAAAAAATGATAAATTATTGTACTAGGTCCTTTCTTGTACTAGTTGATTTGGAGTGATTAATGTTACTAAACAATATATTTTGTAAGCGAAATTATTTGGTTTGGAGGCCAATAGTGGTGGAAGGGAAAATTCACCACTTCCTACTTAAGATTATGATAAAAACATTAACTATTAAGTGCAGTTTAACAATGTAATATGTCATTATTTCAAGAGACCATATGGTAAAAAAAAAAAATGAATGAATCCCAGCTTATTCCATGACACGAAGTTTGGTAAATTTCTTGGCTTGATTAATAATTAACCCCATCCTAATAAAAGAAAGAATAAAAATCAAATAGAAGTTAATTTTAGGAAACATGAAATCGCTTTCTAAAAAGTACACTTAACTAGTAAAAACCTGAGAGCATTCATACAATCACAATACGAATTGAAATTTGGTGTCAGAGGCATCATACTTCAATAACTGAAAAAGAGATAATAAAAATTTTAAATTCCAGTGAAAAATTTTGGTGTTAAACATTTTAACAGAATTACTATAAATGAATCAAGGGTAAATAAATAGCTTATCTTCTGGAATTTCTTTTTCTTAACTAGCGTTACACTCAATGAAAGAGTAAAGCCAATTACCTCCAGTCCTTTATTTGTTGTACTGTTCCTCAACTAATTTCTGCCTAGGATGGACCGAGCATCATCCTATATATAGGATTAGTAGAGCAGACCAACACTAGAGGACATAGCTGTCCACCGAGTGTTGGTCTGCTGTCCTGTTCACACAGCCATTTGTCCAATATCTTACCCAAGATTTGATCATCAGTCATTCTCACCGTAGTCAAATTATTTTAATGAAAGTGGTGATGTGGACATCATTGTAAAGGACCATCACCTCTGAGTTAGACCGCTCTAAAGATTGTTGCCCAAATCTTGCAAAGAGTCCATCATTCCGATAAATAGGTCAGCACGGGTTTGATAAGTGTTTTTTACAAATCCAGTAGTCCTAGAAACATCTCTTATCTTAATGTGTGCCTGAAGAGCATAATATCGCTTATTTGTAGTCATTATTCCCAGATGGATTTTAGGGGTTAACCTGGATTCCATGATGAATTCTTTGACTCTCGAAATTTGTATTCAGCAATATATACCTGGTTGTCCTGCTGTCCTCCACCAATAGGGTTCGCAAGCTTATATTTAGTATTTGTTTCATTGATGGCAAGTCAGATTTTTGCGTTTTCTTTGTGAATATATATTTGAAAATATTTGTATTTTTTCATTTTAGGGGCTTCAGCCTGAAAGATCTCCCTCCTCCATATATCCACCAGTGTTCGTACCCATGCTCTTTGAAAATACTGCTATTATATACTCAACATAATAATTTTTTTAGTAAAATTGGATCAGAGCTTGGATTATTAACTCAAGCAGTAATTTTAAAATATTTTTTCATAAATTAATGGATCAAAAAGAAAAATTAGTTCAATTTAACAAACAAAATAAATTTTTAAAAATTATATTAAAGTGCATATCGTTTTAACAATCATTGGACAACTTCCTATAACTTTAAAAAAAGCTTAATAAACTTTATAAAAGATTCAATATTAGTATCATTATTATAACTGAGGAGAAAAAAATTATCATAACTTGAACGAAGTACAAAATTAGGTAAGATATAATTGGAATAAATTAAAATTAAATATATGTTTAGATAATTAAAAAAAAATAATGATATTTTAATTTTGATTTGTTGTTTTCAATTATGAACCACAAAATGGTTCCAGGGGGCAATGGATCCTTCTCCCCAAAAATATATCTTGGGTTTTTTTTTTTGGTTTTTTTTCGTGTTGGCCATGAGCACGTCGACCCCTAATGGGTCCATAGTGCGCCAATTTCAGTTGGTCGTTTTAATTAAAACGTTAATCCTGTCGCTTCCGCGTATCTAAGAAGGCTGATTGGATTGATCGACTCATAACTTCTGGGGAGATCCATTTGTTCCTCCCCAAATACCACCAGTCTCAGCCTTGTAAATCTATCACATCTGCATATGATGTGAAAAGCTGTTTCATTCTTCTCCTGCATAGCGGATTCGTCATTACTCGGAGATTGAACATATGATAGTTTAGCTTACAGTGACCTGTATAGATTGCTGTAAGCTTTTTAAGGGCTGCTCTGTCCATGTTCCGTAGTAGCTTACTTCTTTTTTCACATGGACCTTTATGGAACAGCTTCGAATTTCGCTGTTTCTTGTCAGTCCAGTAATTACTGGATTTGTTCCCATAAATCTCCCTGATCCTGCCCTTAGCAGTGCTGAGGCTGATTCCACAGACAGGCTCGGGAGTTACAGGAATGGTATCTGAGCCCAATCTGGCTAGTTCGTCAGCCACCTCGTTGCCTGGTATGCCAGAGTGACCAGGCACCCACTCCACTGCAACTCTATTGCTCTCAGTTAGTTTGTTAAGTGCTGTGTTGCATTCCTTTACGATCTTTGAATAAACGTAATAGTTGTTAATAGCACCTATTGCTGCCTGACTGTCAGTATAGATGGTAATCTTTTTCCCAGTCACATTGCTTCGCAGTAGGTTTTGTGCACAATGGGAGATTGCCAGTATCTCAGATTGGAATACTGAAGAATGTCTGCCAAGTGGTATAGACATTTTTTCTTTGATATCTTTGCGATAGATGCCTGCTCCAGAGCCGAAGGCTGTTAGAGAGCCATCTGTGTAGCAATTTATACCACTATTTGGTTTATGTTGTCTGCTGCTGTCTATCCCAACCTTATATTTTCGGTCCTGATATTCTCGGATTAGAGTGTCAGAGTGCATAGCTAGTACTCCTTCACGTCCAATCCTATTCAGCAGTATTGTGTGTCCTCCTTGGCAGGGGACTGGTGAGCAGTAAGTTGACTTGCTTAACCTGTATAATGTGTTTGTTGCCCGAGCCTCCACCTCCAGCTGCAGCGTAGGCATGTTCAACATTACCTCCATGGCAGCCGTCGGTGTCATGCCAATCGCACCTGTTATCATTATATATGCAAGCCTTTGAATCTTTCCTAATGAGGATGAGTTGGCTACAGTCTTTGCTTTGTGCCATCATAGCAAAGCTAAGTAAAGTATGATAGGTCTGACTGTCGTTGTGTACAGCCAGTATACCATTTTTGGTTTGAGTCCCCAATTCTTTCCTATCGCTCTTTTGCAGGCCCATAGGCATTTGAGGGCTTTACTTGTCATGTTTTGAACGTGTTTAGTCCATGATAGTTTATGGTCCAAAATGACTCCAAGGTGTTTAACTTCCTTGCTCAGTGTCAATTGGATACCATTGATTTCCGGCATTTTGATAAATACCTTCTTCTTAGTGAAGATACACAAATTGATTTTCCTAGGGTTGATGCTTAGTGAATTAATCCTGCACCAATTCCTAAGAATATTAGACACTGTACTGAGGATATCAGAGAGGACACTCTGATGCTTTCCTCCTATTAGGATGGCAATATCGTCAGCATATCCTTGTGCATAAATGCCTGCAATGTTTAGGTCTTCCAACAATGAGTCAGCCACAAAGCACCACACTAGCGGAGAGAGCACACTTCCCTGTGGACAGGGTTTAATCCACAGTTCCTTGTGCCCTATTTCTGATTTTAGAACTCTGTCCTCCAGCATTCTCCCAATCCATCTGGAGGACATAGCATCTATGTCTTTTTTCCTTAGTGCATCATTTATGATGTTGTAAGGAGTTCTATCAAAGGCACCCTCGATATCAACGAAGGCGCCTATCATGATTTCACTCTGTTCTAAGGATTTCTCTATTCTTGTTATCAAGTTATGAAGCGCCACCTCACAGGATTTTCCTGGTTGGTAGGCATATTTCTTTGAATGTATTGAATTAGTAGCCAATATATGTTCCTGAATATGTCTGTCCAGTATCTTTTCTAAGGTCTTCATTATGAAAGATGACAGATATACTGGCCTAAATGCCTTGGGGTCTTTGTAAGATTCCTTTCCTGGTTTAGGAATGTATCGCACTTTGGATATCCTCCATTTACATGGTAGATGTCCTAGTGCTAGGCTACCTCTTAGGAGTTCCAGAAGGTATGGCCTTAACTCTGAGAGACCCTTCTGCAGCAATTCTGGAAAGATCTCGTCAGTTCCAGCAGATTTGAAAGGAGAGATTGAATTCACTGCCCATTCAAGTCTGCTGTTTGTAATCACTCATCTTGCCAGACCCCACATACGTGCACCAGTACCACGATCCTGTGTATTGGGGTCAAGAGGTTCCTCTACTGTCGTAAAACAAATTGGGAAATGAGCTTTTGCTACCACACTCAATGTTTCTATTTCATTCGTGGTGTGTTTATCATCATATTTAAGTGTTCCCATTATACCTGTATTGGTTTGTTTTGACAGTATTTTGTTTACTTTACATACCGCCGGCATGGTGTCAACCTCCAGACAAAACCTTTTCCAGGCTTGTCTTTTGGCTTTCCTGACAGATTTGTGATACTCAGTAAGAGCTTTCCTGTAAGTATCCCAATTGCCAGATGTTTTAGCAGCATTGAACTATCTCCTTGTGAGTGTTCTTTGCTTTGTTAGACTATCATTCCAA